TCGAAGACTTTGGTAGGTATAAAGCGTTGTAGTTAGAAACAGAATGTCTTTCAGAGGGGAAGGAAACGCTTTTCAAGTATGTGAAGAAAGACTCTGCGGAAGTTAACATCATGAGGCATGCTCAAGTTACTGTTTTCGCTTAAAACTTAGTTTTTGAAGGTTTATGCTGAAGATGAAGTCACCTGTAGTGTCTCGTAATCCTCGTATAAAGTTCAATGTTGATAACCCAGTTACTTCAACATATGCCAATAGCAACAGTATAAAAATATCGATGAAGATGGGTGCTGTGTACAGGAACGTTGTTGAGAGTACCCAGAATGAACAGCTGGACCTTGAGCTTGAGTTATACTTAATGACCGCTCTAACACATATGAAAAGGTATCTAGTATTCGGGATACCTCCATATTACGTAATTATTTCAGAAACGATCGTGTTGAGATGCTTAAGGAGTACTATGCTGAGGAAGATTACAGAAAAGTTACCAAGTAAGCTGTTTCTCAGGCTTTTCTGTCATCGAACTATTTGTTCAGATTCGTTCGAGATATCTTGATGGGCGATGTCCCCGTTCCAGCTAAGGAAGTAGCAGTTGTTATACGTAGAGCTTATGCCATATTCTCCACTGTTTGTCCCTCATTTGAGCTTCGTAAGATTTCCAAGACGGAATTAGAATAACCACTCATACTTCAGCTGATTACAATATGAATGATCTCGTTAACTGGAAATCCATAGCACTTCTGTACAGATGTGATCCCAACTTATTATCAGCTTTCGTCCATCGAACCAAAACCAATCTCCTCTTCGATTTACTCGAGACTTACGATAAGATCGAAGATAGCAATATAGTTGCTCCTTTAGTCGGAGCACTGTTGAATAAGGCTATGATTGAAGCAGATCACGAAAAATTCACAGGTATCTCATAGGTCTTCCAGGTCATTCATATACATGTTTACAGTTTATTGTCATCGTGTTGCCGAACTAGGAATCAAGAATAAGGATATGTTACAGTTTTTAACCAAAGTTGTTGAGGTTCGCTACTGCAACAGACTAGGAAGTAGTTTCTTCTTCAGGTCTCTGCTGGAACCAAAGCCGAATATTCTTTGCTAGCCCTGGTCTTGTGTGTAGCGTCTACTATGAAATTGTCTGAGAGCAATATAGTGGGACACAAACACATGACAAACTTTCTTGTAGCCTGCATTAAGCTGTGCCCGAAAACTTTATTGAAAAATCAATGTGCTCTCTTTGGGTAAGGCATAGGTGGAGACAAAACACGTATTGCTTTCAGATCTCTGATTACCAAACACTTCAAGAATGCCTACATGGCTATCAATAATCAGGAAACATCGGAGAAAGATGCTGATATACTCCGATACGGCTGCTCAAAGCTGGCCGAGTTCTTAGCATGTAATGAGAAACCTGTTAAAAGGGTTAGTTGTGTACAGATGTAAGCTTGCAAACAATATTCTCTTCAGATAGTTTCTTTCATCATATCAGAAGTTCTTATGACTGCTAAAAGCATGGAACTAGCGTTCGCCAAGCTTCACGGCATTTGCGACACTCACAGGTATGAATATGGAACAAGTATTTAATGAAATCTGCTTGTTCTAGCAAAGCGCTTCTTGCCGTAGCTCTGCCGCCAGCTGAGAAAAAACAATACGCTCGCCTTTCCAAAACGTTGAAGAGAGTTTATAAGCCTACAGTCTAACTGTTAATTTGTTGTTTTTGTTGTTGTTGTTTTCGTTTTAATAAAAGATGTTATCTACAACTTAACGGAAATATCCGAAATACTTAGACAATACTATGTACAATGCAAAGGAAATTAGGAAAAGGGAATAGTTCCGGAATTCACGGCGCTTAACTTCTTCGTTCGCCCGCTTATAACGAGCTATCACAGATGCTTGTTCTTGGCACTTTGATTCTAATCGTTGTTTCTGCAATCGAAGCAGTACATGACTGATTATGCAATGTATCTTACAGATAGTTTTAATGTAGCTATTTGCACTACCTCCTTTGCTTTCTCATCTTTAGGCAAATCTCCAACTTTGCTCAGAATGTCTTCGACAACATAGTTTTTTACAATTCTCTTGGAAGAACAGCGCTCCCTACACATAGGACAGGAGAAGGTCTTCAAATGTTGTTTTCAAAGTCATGAGCAAAATAAGTAACTCACAAGGTCATTATTCACCCTTTCAGTCAAATGATCACGAGACGTTATTCCTTTAATGCAGAGAGAACAGAATGTATGACCACAAGACAGTATTAGGGGAGCCTGCATAGAAGGATTTCAAGTTTCATTTTAAAAAAAAACTTGGTAAAGACTTACGTGGGAATAAACATTGAAGCAAACCGGGCAACATAAGGCTGAAGAGTCGACAATGATCAAATCAGCTCCTTCAATATGAGGAACAGGATACTAAACGATAATGAGCACAAGAACCAAGAGTTCTCTTACCTTATTCTTACTGATATTAGAGATTTTTTCAAGTATTGATCGAAAAAACGCCATTATGCGCTATGAAGCATTCATTTCATTTCATGATTGTCAAACAAACAAGAACTAAGCGAGTAACCTTCCCCAACAAATAATCTAAGGGTTGTACGCAAATTGGCGTGAACTGATTAATTCTTGAGATTATTTATGCATTTAGTGGTGTTTTTGCTTACACGTCAGAATTGTATTTTCAAGCTTTGTAAATAGTAACTGTATGTTGAGAAACCTATGCACCAATCTTTCTCTTAATAAACATTATAGAATCTGGCGTCGCATTTAATTTATAAATCTATCTCAAACATACTAAACCACCACGTCAGAAGATCGTATCCATCTCTAAGTAGACAGACAATGTGCACCCCTGCTTCAAACTCTGATAGTGAAGAAATATATGACAAAGTAATAACATATAGCTCTTAATAAGTAGATCAAGTTCTCTATATAGGCTGCCGAGTATTGGCAACAAGCAAGTCAAGATGTTGATGGAATGCTTGGCGGGTTCGCTCACCTTCATCCTGCTGATATATCAGTGTCCAGAACGTTTATAGGAAATTTGAAAAGAAAAGTAACGTTTGAATGTATAACAGTACAAAATCATTCAATTAGGGTTTCCTTACAAGCACAGACTATGCATTAGATTGTGGCGCCGGAATAGGTAGAGTAACAAAGCACCTCTTGCTCCCTCTTTTCAACAAAGTTGATATGGAAGACGTTGTAGAGAACTTGATTGTGAAGAGTGATGAATACATCGGTATGTACAGATAAAAATGAACTGCTATTATCAAGAATCTCAGGAAAGAACCCAAAAGTCGGCGAGAAATTCGTAGAAGGTCTCCAGACTTTTGCCCCCCCTCAAGGACGGTGAGTTTCAAGTTGCTCTTTCAAGTATTATGTGTGAACGTTTAGTTACGATTTGATATGGATCCAATGGGTCTCTGGTCATCTCACAGATACTGATTTTGTTAGTTTTTTTGAAAGATGTAAGGTAAAACAAGAAATCTCGTGGATCAAACATTGTTTTTTCCTTTCAGGAAGGCTTGAAACCCGATGGCGTTATCGTCTTGAAAGATAATCTCTCAGCCCGTAAGTCATTTCAATGCTCATAAGGTTATAGAGACAAGTTTCAGAACAATCTTCTGAATTCGACAATGAGGATAATAGCTGGACGAGACCGGAAGACTTGATTCTGGAGTTATTTGAGAAAGCAGGGCTGCGACTTGTAGCACGGAATCTCCAAACGGGCTTCCCTAAAGGAATGTACGAAGTCAAAATGTTTGCTTTAAAACCTTGAAAACCCATTTTATTGTTGTTGTTGTTGTTATATCCATGAAGAGAATTTGTTTTTCTGTGACTATTAGTCATTGAAGGAATATCCTTACTTAATACTTCATTGTTATTGCGTTCATCATTACCAAGCATACTTTCAAGATGATTTCGGCACTCCGGAGAAAACTTGGAGGAGATAAGGATGGAACGACTAATCTCATTATGCCTCCCGGAGTTTCGAGAGTGAATAATGAGCTCCAGAAGAAGTATGCTCGCGGCGTTCAAT